GCTACCACCACCACCACCACTAATACCACTGCTGCTGCCCGCACCTCAGGAACAGACAAATTGTACCGAAGCCATGCGCCAGCCACGCCACACCGCGCTGCTGCCACTGCTGCTGCCGTGGCTCATGATGGTGGTGTGTTGCGCCGGTGTTTGCGTTGCCGCCGATCGTGCAGTGAAGCACCGCTGTGGGTTTGACGCGATGATGAAGAAATACGGCCGGCTGCCGACTGCGGTGGTGCGTGAGGTGCCGCGCCGGGGACAGGGCGCCGTGCAGGCGTACACCGCCGCCAGCGAGGATGGGGACGATGGCTGGGCTCCGATCCGCATCAGGGTGTCCGCGGAGGACATGCACAATCCGTTGAGGCACTGCACTGCGGCGGGGGATCTGCGCATTGACCACGATGGCCGCGCAATAACATGTGAGGCGGACGACGTGTTGACGGAGGAGAGGAGGAACATTATTCTGAGGCAAACTCTCCCCGCCGCAATTCAACTGCACGCGGAGCGTCTCTCCGTGAAGCCCGTGACGCGCCCCGTCCTCATTCCTCGAACCGGTCTGGGGATGTGCAATAACTTCACCATCCCACACAAGCACCACACGGTGGGTGTGGCTGACGCCGACATGATTATCTACGCCAACGGTTTTCCGACTTCTGGTCCAAGCGCATGGGCGATTCCGTGCTTCCTGCTGGATGATGGTCGTCCATTTGCTGCTGCCGTGAACTTTGACCCGAGGCAAGTAGCGGTGACAAATGAGGAAGTGCGTGTAGCGGCCCACGAGTTGGGGCATGCTCTTGGGTTTGATGTTGATGATTTCGTGGTGTTCAATATGATTTCCGAGGTCCCGAACGTGCGCGGGAGTTCCAAGGTGTCGGTGATTTCAACACCGAAGACGAAGGCGATGGCGCGTCAGTACCACAACTGCCCCACGCTTGAGGGCATTGAGCTGGAGGACGAGGGTGGCCGTGGAAGTGCACTGTCGCATTGGAAGAAGCGCAACATGAGGGACGAGATGATGACTAGTGATATGGAGGTTGGGCTGTACTCGGCACTGACGCTTGCAGCATTCGAGGACATGGGTGTTTATTTGGCAAACTACAGTGCGGCGGAGATGTTGTGGTGGGGCAACAACTCTGGCTGTGGGCTGCTGGAAAAGAAGTGCCTGACTGACGGCATCACCGAATACCCTGATCTGTTCTGCAACCAGTTTGACGTCTATGATTTCTGCACGTACGACCGTCTGTCTCTGGGGTTCTGTAAAATGAAGAGGCACGAGGAAGCGCTGCCAGAGGAGTATCGGTACTTCGCTGATCCCCGAGTTGGCGGTGATGACCTCTTCATGAGCAGATGTCCGTATGTCAAGGAGTATTGTAATGCTGGTTGCACCAACGGCGATCCTTCCGTAATGTCTGGCAGTGTTGTTGGCCCGAACTCGCGGTGCGTGAAGGGGCAGGAACTTCAATTCGACGACGAATATATTGGCGATGTGTGCGTGGACACTCGATGCGGCGACGGCACAGTGAGCGTGCGGTTCCTTGATGACGATGCGTGGCACGAGTGCCAGGAGGGTGAAACCGTCACGCCGCTATCGGGTCCGTGGCGTGGGAGCATTGTGTGCCCCCAATACGCCGATGTGTGCACCGCCTTCCCGAACATCAGCAGCCACCCAATACCGGTCGTTGACCCGCCTCTAGCGGACGACCCGACATCCGCGGAGGATGCGGAGGGAGACGAGGGCGAGGTTCCGAGGAAGCGGCCGCGGCGACTCTGATTCCGGGGTTCTGCCGCCAATAAATTTATTGGGCAGCGTAGATGGTGTGGCGGGCGGCACTGCGGACACACCCCAATCGAGCAGCAGCGTCACGGGGTTGTGCTTCGCGCTCTCCGCTGCAGCTCCGTCTCCGGGCGACGGGGCTCTCTTCCACGTCTCCACGTGGCGGGGCGGACGTGCACTGCGATGGCGGCCGGCGTGCGGGGCATCATATTTATTTGAGGAAACGAGAAAACACGAGCGAAACGAAAAAAAAAAATGCGCGAGCAGCGTTTGGCAGGGTGATGATGTGCACATGGCCCGTCGACCCCGCACTCGCGAGACGCAGCACAGCGATAACAATAGCATCGTGCAACTGTTGCGCTACTCCTCTTTTCGCTTCTGAAAAACGGACGGTGAGTATATTAATTTTCTTGTGCCTGCGATGCGTGGCTTAACGGACATTTGTGTGCTGGCGGAATGAATTTCTGCACAACCGCGTGGTGGCGAGGTGGTCTGGAGGGAGGAGACGAGTCCCAGCACCGCATGCACCCACGTGCGTCTTCTGATGCGGGCAGGCGATGGGAAGTCGCTGTGACCCAATGGGTGCGGGGGTGTCCGTGACTGCTGTGCAGAGGGCGGGGACGAGCGCGCTCGATGCGGCGTTCCACGCAGACAGGCCTCTCCTGGGTTTTACTATTATTCATTTTTGCTGCGGGGGAATGGCCGGGCCCTACGAGTGGGCGGCAAAACTGCCCAGCCGTGTCCTCTTTGCTCCGTTTATTGGTGTGGAGGTCGCGCACGTTGTGAGTTGCGGAGGCTCGCCCGACGTGATCCTCCTCGCCCCACGTGGGAGGCGAGCGAAAGACGCACTCGGCACCTCCTTTTCGTCAGTCATGAATGATCGTGGGAGTGGGGAGTCGTGCTGGGCTCGCCGTGGACCACGGAATGCATCCGTCGCGGCAATGGCAACAGCATGACGAGGGTGCGAGGTGCTTGTATTTATTTTTCCTTGCCTTGTGCTGGAGGAAATCAAGTCGCGGACTGTTTTTTATACTTTTCTCTCCTGTGCCCTCTCTTCACTCCGTGTGCGTGTCAATGCGTAGATGGGGTGCTGGTATTTTTCAGGGCCTGTGAGAAGAATGTTATCGAGAGGGCTGGCTGCCCAATTTAATATATTTCCTTGTAAACCGTGGGAAGTAATTCCGTGTGATCCTTTTCCTATCTTATGGTCCTTTGAAAGGCCCCGACGGAAGGAGTCAAGGAACCGATAACGGCAAGAAGAATTTTATTTATTTTTATTTTTATTTTTTCCATCCACCCTCTTTGATTCCGACCTTGCGGCGGAGTCTTGTGGCTGGAGGGCCCAAAGTGTTCCAACTCGTAAGTAATAAATGTTTCCAATCCGAACACACCGCACCGTGGCACGAGGGTGGCTATCCGAATATATAGATGTAGTTGGGACAAACAATGAGGATGTGGCGGGGCCGCTGCCTCTCCATGGCCCTCTTCTTCTCGTCCTGTTTTATTTATACGTATCAGTTCAGGATCTGGTCAGCAGCGCTGCAGAACATTTTTCCGTGCTTCGGCTTTATTTGGAGGCTGTGTCGGTTTTTTGTTGTTGTCTGTGTGTGCGCTGCGGTAATTTGTGGTGCTGCCCCTCCTTCTCTCTTGTGGCTGCAGCGTCTCTTTTCCCTCTGTTCCTCTTTCCTTCTGCTTCTCCTCCCGCAGACAAGGCCTGTGCTACCACCACTACCACTAATACCACTGCTGCTGCCCGCACCTCAGGAACAGACACACTGTACCGAAGCCATGCGCCAGCCACGCCACACCGCGCTGCTGCCGCTGCTGCCGTGGCTCATGATGGTGGTGTGTTGCGCCGGTGTTTGCGTTGCCGCGGATCGTGCCGTGAAGCACCGCTGTGGGTTTGACGCGATGATGAAGAAATACGGCCGGCTGCCGGCTGCGGTGGTGCGTGAGGTGCCGCGCCGGGGACAGGGCGCCGTGCAGGCGTACACCGCCGCCAGCGAGGATGGGGACGATGGCTGGGCTCCGATCCGCATCAAGGTGTCCGCGGAGGACATGCACGACCCGTTGAGGCACTGCACTGCGGCGGGGGATCTGCGCATTGACCACGGCGGCCGCGCAATAACATGCGGGGCGGACGACGTGTTGACGGAGGAGAGGAGGAGCATTATTCTGAGGCAAACTCTCCCCGCCGCAATTCAGCTGCACGCGGAGCGTCTCTCCGTGAGGCCCGTGACGCGTCCCGTCCTCATTCCTCGAACCGGTCTGGGGATGTGCGATAACTTCACCATCCCACACAAGCACCACACGGTGGGTGTGGCTGGCACCGACTTGATTATCTACGCCAACGGTTTTCCGTCTTCTGAATCAAGGGCATGGGCGATTCCGTGCTTCTTGCTGGATGATGGTCGTCCATTTGCTGCTGCCGTGAACTTTGACCCGAGCCAAATAGCGGTGACGAATGGAGACGTGCGTGTAGCGGCCCACGCTTGGGGCATGCCCTTGGGTTTATACGGGAGATGTTTTTGATGTTAAATATGATTTCCGAGGTCCCGAACGTGCGCGGGATGTCCAAGGTGTTGGTGATTTCAACGCCGAAGACGAAGGCGATGGCGCGTCAGTTCCACAACTGCCCCACGCTTGAGGGCATTGAGCTGGAGGACGAGGGTGGTTCTGAAACTGTACTGTCGCATTGGAGGAAGCGCAACGTGAAGAACGAGATGATGATCAGTGATATGGAGGTTGGGCTGTACTCGGCACTGACGCTTGCAGCATTTGAGGACATGGGTGTTTATGTGGCAAACTACAGTGCGGCGGAGTTGTTGTGGTGGGGCAACAACTCTGGCTGTGGGCTGCTGGAAAAGAAGTGCTTGACCGACGGCATCAGCGAATACCCTGATCTGTTCTGCAACGAGTTCGACGACGATGAAAGGCTTTTCTGCACGTACGACCGTCTGTCCCTGGGGCGCTGCAAAATGAAGAGGCACGAGGAAGCCCTGCCAGAGGAGTATCGGTACTTCTCTGATCCCCGAGTTGGCGGTGATGACCTCTTCATGAGCAGATGTCCGTATGTCAGGGAGTATTCTAATACTGAGTGCACCAACGGCGATCCTTCCGTAATGCCTGGCTGTGTCGTTGGCCCGAACTCGCGGTGCGTGAAGGGGCAGGAGCTTCAATTCGACGACGAATATATTGGCGATGTGTGTGTGGACACTCGATGCGGCGACGGCACACTGAGCGTGCGGTTTCTTGATGACGATGCGTGGCACGAGTGCCAGGAGGGTGAAACCGTCACGCCGCCATCGGGTCCCTGGCGTGGGAGCATTGTGTGCCCCCAATACGCCGATGTGTGCACCGCCTTCCCGAACACC